TCAGGTGCCATATGTGATGTCCAGATGACCCAGTCTCCATCCTCCCTGTCTGCATCTCTAGGAAGACAGAGTCAACATCACTTGCTGGACAAGTCAGGGCATTAGCAGTTGGTTAGCCTGGTGTCAACAGAAGCCGGGAAAAGCTCCTAAGCTCTTGATCTGTAGTGCTTCCACTATACAACAGTTGTACAACACTCGAGTTCCTTTGAGATTCAGTGGCAGTGGGTCTGGGACAGATTTTGCTCTCACCATAAGCAGTCTGGAGCCTGAAGATGTTGCAACTTATTACTGTAAACAGCATAGCAATATCCCTCCCGCAGTGTTACAAGTCATGACATACAGCCCCCAGGGAAGCACAGGTGTGAGGCTGGGCTGCCCCAGATGCTCAGCCTTTGTCTCCATCTGCTAACTTTTGTCATATTCAGCCATGCTTTGAAGATTTCTGGAGGGTGTTTGTACAAAGGGCCAGAAAGGATCATCTGCCATCTCTCTTTTCTCTTCCTCAAAGCCAGCACCACAGACATGACAATGCCTCTCCTAATTCCATTAAGAACAGAGAAGATTACACCTGAGGAGTCTTAAGTTATGGCATCAATGTTCGTACAGTAAGAAAGAAGCTGCTCTAGGTATTCCAAGCAGGAATTGTTGTAATACAGGGAATTAGAGTCTAAACTATAGGCAGTAAAGGGCCTAGGGTTATGGTAGTCAGGGAACCTAATAGTAGAGATGAAGAGTTCTTGGATGCTCCCCTAGAATCCAAAGCACATTTGCCACTGAAGGTACAGGCTGCCTAACCGTGCAGCCCTCCAGCCTGTCTGGCGCATTCATAGGCTCACCCCAGACTTTACTCAGCCAAAATCTTTGAGGGTAGAATCTGGGAACCCGTGTTTTTGTTTTTGTTTTGTTTTGTTTTGTTTTTGGTTTGGTTTTTGTTTATTTTTTTACTGGTTATGAATATTCATGGGGTAGAAAGCTGATTGTCACTACTCTTGCCCAAAATGTGATGGCCAGATCCATATTGGCAGCATGCCAGTTACCACAAATTGTGATTATACCCAGGGTCCCCCACCCAATTAATCCCCTTCATTCCTTCCCATACCCTTTTCCCCTCTCTACTTTGTATCCCCAGGTATGCTCTCTTCCTCTGCAAGTCCAATGCACCACTGTGGTCTTTCTTTCCTTCCTTCTTTCTCTTTTAGCTCCCAATAATAAGTGAGTACATGTGGTATTTATCTTATGTGTTTTGCTTATTTCACTCAACATAAGTTTTTCCAGGTTCATCCATGTTGTTGCAAATGGGAGAATTTCATTCTTTTTTATGGCAGAGTAGTAGTCTATGGTCTATATATACCACATTTTCTTTATCCAATTGTCCATTGATGGACACTTTGATTGGTTCTATATCTTGGCTATTGTGAACAGAGCTGCAATGAACATGGGAGTGCAGGTATCCCTTCAACATGATGACTTCCATTCCTTTGTGTATATACTCAGAAGTGGGATTGCTGGATTGTATGGAAGATCTACGTGTAGTTGTTTGAGAAACCTCCATACTGTTTTCCATAGTGGTTGTACTAATTTACAGTCCCATCAACAGTGCAGGAGTGTTCCCTTCTCTCCACA